ATGGCAGGATGTTATTAAAATGGATGATTATTTGGCTAAGGGACGAAGACCACAATTTTGGGAAGAACCTTTTACTCGACGGGTAAGTGGAAGTTGTATAATTGCTAATTAGTATTATATGTAAGATTTGTAGTGGTAGAAAGCGAATGGGAGTGAATACGAAAAAGTGTGCGAAGCAATTAACAAAACAGTGTTAGATTAGGGCTAGTAAGAAACCGTGGGATAAAGGATAAGAATGGAAAAAGAGAGAGAGAGAGGAGAGTGAAAGAGAGGGAGAGGAAACTGAGACACGGCGAAAGTGAGTGTGGAAAGAGACTGTGGGATTGAGAGAGAGGGGGGGTTAACGAGAGAGAGAGAAATGAGAAATAGTGTGAAAGAGAGAGAAGGAGAGAAGAAGACTCAATAAGAGAAAGAGAGATAATAACACACAATAAGATAAAGAGAGAGAAAAACAGATAGCAAGAGAAAGAGAGTGAAAAACAGAGAGATAGAAAAGGAGAGAGATGGTAAAAGAGTGAAAGACGACAAGAGAAATATAGTTAGCAAAAGATAAGAATTGAAAAAATTGAAGAAAGACAGAAAAATAAATAAAAATAGTGAAGTAGGGAGAGATATTAAAAGGAAGAGATGGTAAAAAGGAGAGATAGTAAAAAAAGGAGATATCAAAATGGCGAAATAATAAGTGAACGATTAGAAGTGAGACAAAAAAGATTAATGAAAGACTGAGAAAATAAAGGGGGATATATACAAAATGAGAGAGAAAGTGGGAGAAACGTAATAAGACAAAATAAGAGTGAGAGAATGAGACATAGAGAGTGAGGGAGTGGGAGAAAGAACAAGAGAGAGTTATAACATTTGTTGGTTCAATAAAAAGTTCGACTTTTTTCTTGATTCATTGACACAAATTGATTCGTTAGTTTTAAAAATAATTAATCAAATAATTCATATATTTTATTTTATAATTCACATATCATATATTTTATAGGTATTAGATGCGATTAAAAATAAAAGACTTGAAATGAAAAAAGCTGCACGTATTTTGGGTGTTTCTTATGGAACTTTATATGGCCGTTACAGAGAAGTCTACGGTTGTCTTAAGCATCCATATAGGTAACATAAATATACTAATATATTTTATATACTCTAAAGTACTCATATAACTTTTTTCTTATATTAAGCAATTCAACTTTTCGTGCTGCAACATCCACACCCATAGGACTACAGCCTCGATTTGATGTTACTTGGCCAACTTCAAAGCGTGACTCTGGTGTTTTGCTGCCGGGGCAGTTAGGTGCGTTTATTTTTAATATAACTACTATATATAGATAATCTAAACTAAATTATTTATCCCTTACAGAAATTGGTAAAATACGTCCGAAAGATCTCAGTGAGTTATGGGCACGCCCGCAAATCTAAATCTAGACGATATTATAAAAAGGAGTATTATATATAGTTCTTTAGTTTACTTTGCTGTATTATTAACGCATGAATGCATTCACATAAACTGATGGAAAATTTAAAAGACATTCTTGTAAAGACAATTTAGTATTTTTCTTATTATCTAGTGTGAGGCTAGTATAATTTTTATTTTAATATTAAATATATAAATATAATCGTATTATATACAGATATCATGTGTATTAAGTATAATTACTGCAACAATATTTATTTACATTAGTCTAATTTAATAGTTAATTATTTGCTGTTCCATAAGAGAAATATTTGATATTAGGTATATAGGGAAATATGTAAATACATAAATAATTAAATATAAATTCCTTATAAGGTTTTGTGTTCAAAATCTATATTAATTTAATTAATAAAAAAATATATTAACTTAAAAATAGGTTTTAAAATATTATCTTTATAAAGCAATTAATTAAAGTTTCTGTTCCAATAAATAAATTTCGTTTTGTATATAATATATTTAATAAAATTAAATGATATATTTTAAAGTACTTATGTAATAGTTAATTTCTTTATAAGTCTATATGTATAAAACAAATAATATTTAGATAAATTACGTACTTTAAAGAAAATAAAATATTAAAGATCTTAATTTTTTAATCTTATTTTTTGAAATTTGCTTGAATAAAAAAATTTTCGTTTTAGTAAGAAAAACAATATTAGTTCATTTAATTTTATTTAAATACTGGAAAGGAAAAGCAAAAAATCTGCTGAGAATATATAATGATTTCAGGAGTGGTTTACGTCCTGTCTGTGCAATTTTGCAAGAGAGAAGGACCTAAATTTTTCTAGTAACAGTGGAACTATAGGGCTTATGATAATAACAACATTTAAGGAATTTGTTATTTGTGAGATTCAGTTTAATTAGGAAAATTATTTAAAAAATGCTTATATATTGCATTAATAAAAATGTTTCAATACTTTATTAATCAACTTTGCTTTGATAAATAAAATTTTTGTCATTATTTCAAGTTATAGAGTTTTTATTGAAGAAAATATATGTTGATGCTATCAGTTAAAATATATTTTTTTTGCACAATACATTTTAAAAGGATTTAAATTTAAGGTAAGTAATAATTTTAAATAATCTTAAATTGAAAATTATTTTAATTAACACTATATTATATTAAAATATTTATGTTTTGCTTTCTTATGAGAATTTACTCGAGTATCGCGAATTAATATTATTGCTATATTATTTAATTTCGTATTATATATATTAAATTATTTAATATATTTTATATTTATATATTTAATAATTTATCGGATATTCATATAATTGCTATTGCTATGGAGGGTTTAACTATTTATATTGGATTGCAACATTTTTGAATATTTATGAATCTATTTCCAATAAGATTTTCTCTGCCAGATAAATTTAATAATTTTAAAACCCATGCTTTTTCTTCTTTACTCACAAACGCTCTTGTTCTGATTTGACGGTTCGCATAATTCAACTAAGCCAATATTGCCAGATCTGCGAAATCTTTTGAAGTAACAAAACGCTCCCAAATAGTATAGCGACAAATTCTTTGTGTGGAATCAATTTTTCGCCCGATATTAATGCCAACAATCTTATAAAACGTAATTAATTATCTTTTTTTTTGATAAAATACTTAACTTTATTAAATATATTTGTTAAAAATTTTTATTGTAAAGTTTAAAATTCCAAACAAACAATGTAATAAATATATTTTCTTAAACAATAATTTAAGAGCGGGCTTATTGGTCATTTAAATAAAAAACAAACTATAATTTATTATTTATATTTAAAACAAATTATTTTATTAAGAAAGTTTCCGATATTTCGAATATCTTCGATAGTCATCTTCCGGAAAAGTAACGTATATACAATGTAAAATTTATAAAAGTTACAAAATTAATAAGAAAATCATATAATAAATACAATAATAATAATAACAATAACAAAAACAAAACAAGATAAAAATTATAAAATACATATTCTCTTTTTGTTTTTGTTGTTGTTATTATTATCATTGTATTTATTATATGATTTTCTAATTAATTTTCACGCGGTAACTTTTACATTGTATATTTATTTCTGTACTTTAATTTTTTTTTTGTGTAATTTGTTTTGATTCTTTGTCAAATATTCGCTCTAAAACTCGTCTGATGTTTGTCACATATGAAATCTTTAATACAGAATGCGTAACATGAAAGCTTCTAATTAACAAATATATTTTGATTTCACATATATACGTGTATATAACCTGTAGTTTCTGAAAAAAATATGTTACACATTTATTAAAATACAATAAAAACGAATATCTTATAAGAATGTATTTTGTGATGTAGTGTAGAGAAGTTAAAACCATTGTTGCTTTTATAGTACAACGCTATATAAAGTAAACTCGGTCGATATATATTTCAAATAAATTATGCTTTGATTATTATTATTATTAAAAATTATATTGATATATAAATTCCGCATACAAGCACAAACGGTATGCATACGGTAGCACAAACAGTGCTGCCAGCTCCAAAGGCAATTTCTTAATATTCGCTTCAATCAGACTTTTCACTTGTCACTTTGACATTTATTTCACTTGTTACTAAACAATAAATGTATTCATACATTTAAAATGTGGATAAAACATAAAATAATTCATGGTAAGACATATAAAACATACAAATTGGAATATATATGTATTTAAAAAATTTCATATTCTTTTTCTAGTTGGAGCCAGCATGGCTAACATTAAAACTGAAAATGGTCAGTTTATAATGTTTTGTGTTGTAAATGGTGATACAATGGAATACAAAGCTACCAACATGGATGAGACTTATGCTGAAAAATTAAAAATCTCTGAAGTTATGAATCGCGTTAAGGTTTGACAAAACCAATATTAAAATAATTAATTAATTTATTTATAATTGTGAAATTATTGATTACTTTCTTTAAAGGAGTTGAACAAACGAATACGCTTTGATGAAAAAACGGTTTGTGACACATTGACACAGCGACAACCGGATGATGAAATTTGGTTAGATGAGCATGATGATTCGAAAGGTTTGAAATTAAAATATATGATACGTAAGTGTCCATTTAACTTTAATTTCTATCTCAAAAAGCAAGCTGAAGAGGAGGTAAGCTATTTTAGTTGTATTTTCCAATCGCATATCATTAATATGTTTTCCTCTTTAGCATAAATACTCATTGATGGTGCCACTCTTTAAAACCATTGCCAGTTTGAGCGAGCAAATTGTTGAGTTGAGAGACGCTGTTACACGTAAAGATGTTGAAATTCAGCAGTTTAAGAAAGAAGGTGCTATTTTAAAGAGAAGTAAGTTTTTATGATATAAATTTCTATAGATTTATATATTATATTTTGTGTGGTTAGCTATATAATATATTTAACAACTTGTTCGTGCAGCAAAACCTGTTATGTTAGTTTATGCTATAGTCACGTGTTAAACAGTTACTTGTTAGGCATAATTTGTTTATTTCAAATTGCTCTGTGCTCCTACTGCAGCTGTATTATTAATGATGTCATGCCTCTCTTTACCGTTTCGAATGTGAGTCTTACTGACTTAAATTGGTAAAGTTTTTTTATATCGACTTGGATTGTTTTAAACACTGCACCGAAATATGTTCCATATTTTAGAGGCTCTTAAGTGCATCACAACAATGATTTACTATAATTTACAGCTAACATTGTAAGGAATGATTCAATTATCCAATTTTTATATTGTCAGTATTTTTTACTTTTTTTTATATGAATAATACAAAGCATGTTAATTTGTTATAAAACATCCTGTGTATGTATTTATAAAAGATTATTGAACTAGCAAAGATCTAGTTAGAATTTGAGGACTACATTTATAAATTCTAGTCAGAATCTAGTTGAGGTTTGTGGAATACATTTATTATCTATATTTATATTTTGTATTTTTAGCTACTGTTGCCACATCAATTTTTAACTTCGATGACTTTGATAAGAAGTATGACGAGTGTAATAAACTAGCAAAGGTGTTGGAGCCAGTTGGGTTGCTTTTCATTGAACAGTTACAAAACAGTACTGAACTGGAGGCAGTATCAAACTCTGATGTTGTAATGGTTGAAAAAAACTGTGAATCACCCAAAAACTGTGAATCACCTAAAAAGAGTGAAACTCACAAAAAAGAGCAAACTAAAAGTCCAAAGGATAGGTAAGCTTGTATACAAAGTAGTACATTGTGACCGAAAGGTTTCCGGAAATTTTAAATAAAACGCAAAATTCTTAATCTTCATCAATATTTATTTTATCTCCTTCAAAATATGCTCCATTAGAAGCGATACACAAATGCCAACGTTTCTTCCAATCATCAAAACATTTTTATAGGCGCTTTCCGGTATGGCTTTGAGTTCCCTCTGCGAATTCTGTTTTACGTCTTCTATGGATTCAAAACGCGTTCCTCTGAGTGGTAATTTGAGTTTGGGAAACAGGAAAAAGTCACACGGTGCAAGATCAGGTGAATACGGTGGCTGTTCGATGGTATTTATTGAATTTTTGGCCTTAAAATCGTTGATAATGTTGGCTCGGTTGAGGTGAATCGGAACAATCCGTGCGTTATCCTTCCACAATTTGTCCGTTTACGTCGGATAGCTCTCACGACCGATGCCTAGCTCTCGTGCTATCTCTCTAACACTCACATGAGGATTTTTGAACACGATTTCCTTTGCCTTTTCAATGTTTTCGTCGGTGGTAGAGGTCGAAGGTCGTCCAGAACGCGGCATGTCTTCGACGGTCGTACGACCGTCCTGAAAGGCTTTGTACCACTCATAAACTTGAGTTTTCGATAAAACTGATTCCCCATAAGCCTTTTGTAGCATTCGCAACGATTCTGCACACGAAATTTCGTTCGAAAAACAAAATTTGATGCAAACTCTTTGTTCAATATTTTTTTCCATTGTTTTTTTCGCAACGCACTACTGAGGTGAACTGGTTTCAACAGCTGCCGTAAACGAA